TATTTTATATTTTTATGTATATAGAATAATTAAGTTAACTATAAATATTTAGTGTTAAAATTGATAATTTAATCAAAGTATATATGTGTCTAATATTTGTTAAAAATAATCTCATATTTGATAGTATTACATTTTTATTACTAAATTTATGATTTATGAGATACATAAATATATGTTACTAGTGGTAGTGGATGGTTAAATATTAATATATATATATATATATATTTACAAAATTTTGACATAACCAATAGTCACTATTGGTTGTCGATTATGTAAGTATAATCGACAGAAATTCTATCGATTATGTAAATATAATCGAAAGAAATTCTGTCAATTATACATGTATAATTGATAGCTCCTATTAGCTGTCGATTATACCTGTATCATGTCTCACTTGGTCAAAAAAATTGAATTTTGTGATGTAACAAATTCAAAATATAACCAACAAAGTATAATTAACAGAAATGTTGTCGATTATACTATATATATATATATATATATATATAAAACCAGAAATAGAACCTTCAAACATCCTCTCATCTCATCTTCTCCAAAATTTCCCATCTTCTTTCCCTTTTCTACATATGTGCGCACCCCATTTTTCTCTTCTACCTTACTTCTTCTTCTCTCTTTTCTTTTACCTTTCTAGATCTTTCATTGTCTTTTTCCTTTTTAAATGGTAGACCATTTTAATTCTTGTTATTTTCCCTTTCTAGATACCTCTCTTCTTCTTCTTTCATTGTTTTTACATTACTTCACATTTTCCCTTTAATTCCTTCTACCTTTCTAAGTCTTGGGGGGTTTTTTTTTTTCATTTATTTTAGTTTCTATATTATTCAATTATTTTATTTGATCTAACATGATTTTTTTTTTCTTTTGCAAGTTATTAAGGTTGAAATCATATTATGAGGTAACTTCTAATACTACTTTTGATTTATGCTTTCAATTTCCATTTTTTATTTCATTATTTTCATAACATTTAATTTGTAAAATATTCTATTTTTTCAATTAGTTTTTGTCAATTTATCTATATATATACATATATATTATTGCAACACATAATTGTTTTACATATATTTTGGTTAATATTTATAATTTAATTAACAAATATAAAATTATTATTTTTTTTTTTAAATCAGATGCCAACATAATCGACAGTCATATTTGTCGATTATACATGTATAATAAAAATATATATATTTCTATCGATTATATTTATTTTTTATGCAAATTTATCCAACGATTTTTTTTGTTGATTATGTTTGTCAATTATTATGTTTATCGATTATATGTATAATCAACAAAATTTCTTATATAACTAACAAAATTTTTTGTCGATTAAAAACTATTTTCTAGTAGTGCATATATAAGATTGTATGAAATATATATATAGAAAAATTATTTCTCAATCATTTAACTTATTTAATTAAATTGAGAACCCCAATAGTTGAATTCAATGATAAATAAATATCGTTTTATAAAGATAAGTTTAGAGTTTAAGTTTTAGAGTTAGTACATAAAAAAATTAATTTATTTAAACGCCCCATGCCAATATAAGAGGTGTATTCTTTAAGATCGCTCGAGTTTAAGATTACTTGAAGGAGAATTAGTTTTGGGATTAGTCAAAACTAGCTTGGAGACATCTGATTGTAAATATCAAAAAAAAAAAAATCTATTAATTTGGAGTGCTATAACATCAAAGGTTTCCACATTCCACCTAGCAAAATGTTACAACAAACCATTATTTTCGTTTTCATATCCATATTGAGAACATAATAATTAATAATATATAGAATTGTAGCACTAACATCACATGCAATGTAGGAATCAAGTTGCCTATCCAGGAGACCAGCACACCAATTGTTCTGCACCACCAAGGCAACGTTTTCCTAGCTTTTTCTGAGCCAATTCTTTAAAACTATATTTCTGTAATCTTAAGTCTGACAATAGTAATTAACTTCTGAAAAGTTTCTTTTTCCATTAGTATAATTTGTTCAGAGTAATTTTTGGAGAAAGTACCGCGCTCACCATACAAAAAAGAGGCAATACGGGCATCGCCGGTTAAGGCTATCATTATTAATATTTTTTTTTATTATGGTTGTTAATTTTAATTATAATTTTATTAATTATTAATTATTTTTAATAATCATATTAAAATAAAATTTAAGTAATTTTAATAATCATAACAAAATTAATAATGATGATAACCACAGCCGTGGTCTTCCCTAACGAGTTGTGTACATTGATTCACCATTCACACGCATTTTGCCTAATCAAGTAAAATTATAAGCCCTTTTGCTAAGATAACACGATAGTGGATGAATTATATTTTTAAAAAATATTTTTACCCTTTTTATTTTAAAATAACTGTTTTTATTTGATAATAAATTTG